CAGTAGTAGCAGTAAGCACATTTACCATTCAAATATTGATTTCTAATACCACTCTTTACTAGAAGTTATCAGGGATCTTTAAAAAATGGCTGATTTTTTAAGAGAACAAAATATAATAAAACTTAGAAATGATATAGAATTCCAGACAATAAGATGATATGAATTCAGCACTGGCTGTTATATTGCAGATTGTCTTCAAAGCAGTTGCTCAGATTAGCACATATAAACATGCAAAATTGGTTAAAAATATTTTTTAAAAGTTAAGCATTAATTGTTCCTTTCAATAATCTAATAGCTGATTCTTAACCTGAGCAGGAAATACATAAGATAAGCCTGAAGTTCCTTTCTATAATATAAATAAATGCTAAAGACAACATTATGCAATATAACACCCAGTGTTGAATTCCTATTATTTTGTTTAATGAAATTCTGTATTCTGCTCTTTGTTTAGTGAACTTCTGTATTCTGCTTTTTTCCCCTATTTTTATTTCTTTAAAAAATAAAAAACACCCTCAGCAAAACTCACAATGCATTATACCAAAGGAGTCAATTAAAACAGCTTCCAATAGGCAAACATCAAAGAATTTGACCAGGAAAGTACAGTAGTATTGTATTAATACCCAATGTATAATATAAAAATCCTTGAATTCATATTATAAAAATGACTGAAACTCAAATAAGCAAGAAGAGATCTATTTCTCTTGAAGAACTGTAAATAATTTATGTAGACATTTTGCCCTTAAGAAGTTATAGCTTTTTTATCCACTCCTCAGTTGATAGGCATTTGGGTTGTTTCCAAGATTTGGCTATGACAAGTTCTACTGCTATAAACATGGGTTCACATATATCACTGTGGTATGATGTTTTCGCTCTTCTAGAAAAATGCCCAAGAGGGGAATAGCTGGATAAATGGGACTTTTAATTCCAAGTTTTTGAGACATCTCCACACAAATTTCCACTTAGCTATAAAGAAAGATAAACTCAAGGCTTTTATTAATAAATGGATGCAACTAGAGGCTATACTCATAAGTGAAATAAATCCGACTTGCATGTGTAAACATCATAATGTCTCCCTTGTGTAAGAACTTGAAAGAGTAAATAAAATCTGAAAGGTACACTAGATGTAGTAAAAGGAAAGGAAACTGTTCAAAAGGAAAGAACAATTGGAATGAGGGAAAGGGGAAAAGAAGGAAGGGGAAAAATATATACACACAGGATAGCTAGAATAATTGTACTAATTCTATTGGGATTTTTTGAAGAAAGCAGTTAATGCTTCAAATTTTCACTTAGAGAAAGTTTATATGCTTTTATCTGGTAAGATGAGTACTTTGAAGACAACAATGTATGATATAATAACTATTGCTGAGTTCCTATCAACTTGTTTCTTAAATTCTGCACTGTTTCCAATGTTTTATCTATTTTTTATTCTCTTTACAATAAAAATTAAACATATAATAACTAAAGTCCTCATAATTATCCTATGCCTTGATTAGTACTATTTCCTTGCTTAAGATTAATTTGAATATCTATCATTCTCTATATATTTATGTTTACTTATGCCATCTATAGCTATATATCCTATTTAAATGTCATGATCGTATATCAGAGAAACTCAAAAGACTCCACCCAAACAACTAGTAGGAATAAATGAATTTCATATATTATAAGAGTATAAAATCCACATGTGATCATACCTTGAGAGAAAAGTCAGCTATTAATCTCCTCGGTATAATACCTATAGTTCCCACCAAGCCCAGGTCAAAAATTATTTTTCAAAAATGTTTTACACTATAGCAAGTATTACAAATATTTTTGTCATTACAAACTAAATGATAGGCTAAAACACTTACTTATATAGCAATTATATTATATAGGTATAAATAAACTAGGGATGATTTAGAGTGTACAAGAGGATAGACATAGGTTATAGGCAAACACACAGCAACTTCACATGAAGAACATGAGCACTGTCATATTTTGATATCTGGTAGGAGTACTGATAGCAATTTCCTGCACATCCTAACAGATGACTGTAGTAAACATTTCGCTATAGTGCATGACTGTGTATAAGTATGGTGTAGCATAACTATGCCTTCCATAAGTATGGACTATGAGTAATAACATTTCCCCCAAGATTATTATATGGAAAGGAAGTAAAAAGAGCAACTTCATAGTGGGAAAAAAGACAAGTGTAATCTCAAGACAGGTGATCAAGGTCAACATCAACAGTAAAAACACTAGTACATTGATAAGATATAATAAAAATGGTATTTTACCTCTGTGATCTTCTTCCACAAACATTATAAAATCTAACCATGAGAAAAAATATCTGATAGACCCTGATTATGGAACTCCTACAACATATCTGAGAAGTATACCTCAAACTTTCAAGGTCATCAAGAGTCAGGAAAGCATGAGGAATTGCTACAGCCAAGAAGACCTTACCAAGACATGACAACTACATACACTGTGGAGTCATGGCGGGTATACCAAAGCAGAAAAATTGCATTAAGGAAAAACTGAGGAGAGCCAGGGAGATAGGTTGGCAGTCTCAGCACCTGCCTGGCAAGTGCAAGGACCTGGGTTGATTCCTGGTACCGCATGTCGTACCAATCCCACACTGAGCCAGCCACTGAAACCAGGCATGGTGTCACACACGTAGTCCCACTGCTGCGAAGGCTGAAGTCAGGAGGATCACTACAAGTCCAAGCTGTGTAGACAGATCCCATACCAAACAAATAAATGATTTTTAAAAAATTGAGGCTACCTCTAGAAATTTGGCCATAAATACCATATTCATATGATACTAAATGAAAGAATATAAAAAACATTGGAAACTTTCTATGCTATCTTTGTGATAATTCCCTAAGTATAAAAACTTATTCCAAAAATGCAGTGTTTATGAAAAAAACCAAATAGGGAACATACAACTTAGTGTAGACAATCTGGAAACATAGTATATGTTTATCCATAAGGAAATAATTGATTAAATTGTGGCAGCAGAATATTAAGCAACCCAGAATATTATATACTTCAAAAGAATGAGTAATAAGACACTATATATTGTTTCAGAGAACACAAAAATATGGCCACTAAGAAGAATGAAACTTTGATTATTTATAGAAAAATAGGTCTAGAGATTTGAAGCAAGCCAGATTGAGAAAGACACATATCAACATGTTCTTCCTAGTATTTTGAAACACAAGAAAGTGGAAGAAAGACTATTATGAGAAAAGGATAAGGGAATAAATGGAAAAGAAGTAGAGCGTATGGAAAAGAAGCAGAGAGTAGGGATCATGGATATCATCAAAATATATTATGCATATTGCAACAAAAATGTGCCAGTAGAGAGAGGGCAGGTAAAGGGTAAAGGTGAGGATTACAAAGAATGTTATATAAAGATACTAATCTGCCAGAATGAAACCCATTGATCTGTATAACCAATATTCATTAATAGAAAAGACAAGAAACAAAAATATTCATAGAAATATATAAGCATCATTTTATTTTCTAAAACAATGAGAATTATTTTTCTGCAAATGTGTTTATGAAATTAAGCATATGGATGATTTGTGTAATACACACACTAATTTATTAACTTGGCGAGGATTGTAGCAGTGGCATAGGTTAGAGGGAAGAGAACAAAAGCGGAGATAGCAGAATTGAAGACATTACTAGAGCATGGGAAGTATGTAATACTTAGTCATTAATTCCTTATAATCTAAGTACCTGTGGATGCTATTAGGCTAATTCTTTGCAAATAAGCTTCAAATTTATGGGAGGAAAAGGAAAAAGCAAACAGAAATATAGATATAGAAGGGATGAGCAGGAAAAGTGTAGGCACATCCTGCGTGCTGGAAAATACTGTGTCAGTGACTAAAACGAATTACACTCACTTCTCAATTTTGCCGAGTTTCCCCAGCAGAATTCATTGCCTATCACTAAGGGTATAATGAAAGTAATTGCTGCTTCTACCAAGATCCTGCTGATTTTACCTACCTCAAACAGAACCTAAAGTCAGCTTATGCTCTCCCAGTTTTCCTTCCCCAACCAAAAGTGATTCTAAGGCATCAAAAAGTTTTTGTGTTTATATGTCACCTTGTTCTCCTGGCCTTTAGAACAATGAGGTCTCACCAGGGAGTATCAATTGCTTTGTATGAAGAAGCGACATAGCTTTGGCCTCAAAGTCCACAAGAGACAAAAATAGGGAGGGTTTGTATTTCTAAAAAGTTAAAATCAAATAGTGGGGTGCAGGTCCCTGGTGAGTCAGATCACAGACTCAAAATGGTAGAATTGAAAGGTATTTTAAAGGTCATTTCAGCTAGCTACTTCAATACCTAATCCAGTCTCTGTCTGAGTATTTGAGATGCTAGATCCTAGGTCCTGCCACTGAGATGAAGTGAGAAGAGAGGGTATTATTAACAATAAAACAGAATGCTTTCCACTGTAAACAGAATGCTTTCCACAGAATGATTTCCACTATAAAAAAGTAGGAATTAGGCCTGTGGTACCGCCCTAGTACAGTACCCAGAAATAACGAACAACTGTGTTTATGGATTTCTATGTTGAATATTTAGACCCACTGAAGACAAACTCACATTGCAGATTCTATGAATGATATTACTAATAGCTCCTTTCTAAAGAAGTATGCAGGAGGTTTTAAAACTACTTTCCCTTTAGCAAAAAAGGTGAACCTTTAGTCTGAATGATACTAAAGGTCATTTCCATGAGTAGATTCAAGATTGTTGAACCTATTAGCTTTTTCAGTACTTGTTAATAGAAGACCCAGGTGCAGGAATGGAGTTAAGAAAGTAGTGAGGTACAAATTTTTCTAAATTAAATGAGTTCAGTATAAACAAAATTCCTAATTTATAATATTCTAACAATAATTTTCTAACTAATGCAATAGATAATTAAAATTAAATTTACAGGGGCCCAGGATGTAGAGCGGCTGTGCCTGATGGCGCGTCTGACGCGAGTTCGGGTGGGGTAGAGAGTAGGGGGTGGTCAGTACCAGTGAAACACCTCAGCCTCCTCGGAAGAAGAGGGCCCGGGTTGATCCTACTGTTGAAAATGAAGAAACATTTATGAACAGAGTTGAAGTTAAAGTAAAGATCCCTGAAGAGCTAAAGCCGTGGCTTGTTGATGACTGGGATCTGATCACCAGACAGAAACAGCTGTTCTATCTTCCTGCTAAGAAGAATGTGGACTCCATTCTAGAGGACTATGCAAATTATAAGAAATCCCAAGGAAACACAGATAATAAGGAGTATGCTGTTAATGAGGTGGTAGCAGGGATAAAAGAATACTTCAATGTGATGCTGGGCACTCAGCTCCTCTACAAATTTGAGAGACCACAGTACGCTGAGATCCTTGCTGATCACCCTGATGCACCCATGTCCCACGTGTTTGGAGCACCACATCTACTGAGATTATTTGTCCGAATTGGAGCAATGTTGGCCTATACACCTCTGGATGAGAAGAGCCTTGCTTTATTACTGAATTATCTTCATGATTTCCTCAAGTATCTGGCAAAGAATTCGGCAACTTTGTTTAGTGCCAGTGATTATGAAGTGGCCCCTCCTGAGTACCATCGGAAAGCAGTGTGAGGCGCACTCACCGGTGTTTGGATCTCTGTCGACATGTTTTTGTTCCTAGTCTTTCTCTTGTACAAATGATGTACTTTGAAGATGTTAGTGTATAACAGAGTTGTTTGTTTTGTTTGATTTTAAACAGAAAATAAAAGGGGTTACAGCTCCTTTTTTCTTTCTTTTTTTCATTTCAAAGTTGCTACCAGTGTATTCAGTGATGGACAACAGAGAGACATGGTGGAGTGTTTTATTGCCCAGTTGACAAAGCTGCTTTTGAATGCTGGTGGTTCTATTCCTTTGACACTATGCACTTTTATAATACGTGTTAATGCTATATGACAAAATGCTCTGATTCCTAGTGCCAAAGGTCCAATTCAGTGTATATAACTGAACACACACATCCATTTGTGCTCTTTTTTTTTTAATGGTGCTTAAAGAGCCCTTCCTTTGCAAGTCATCCATGTTGTTCCTTAGGCATTTACCTTTGCTCAAGTTGTTGAAGGATGGTGAATTGTTTCATGGCTTTTGTATTTTTGTCTAATGCACGTTTTAACATGATAGACGCAATGCATTGTGTAGCTACAGTTTTCTGGAAAAGTCAATCTTTTAGGAATTGTTTTTCAGATCTCCAATAAATTTTTTCTTTAAATTTCAAAAAAAAAATTAAAAAAAAATTAAATTTACAGAAGCAATCTGGGTGTGGTGATGAAAACCTATAATTCCAGCACTCGGGAGGCTGATGCAGGATGATCATTGTGAGCTCGAGACCAGTCTGGGCCACAAAGTGAGCTCCATCCCAGCCTGAACTACATAGGGAGACCCTGTTTCAAAAGGACAAAAAAACTTATAGAAGCTCTATATGTATTGTAACCGCTCAAGAACATAAGCATGCTTTAATGTGAGGCACATTGCATACATCCTTGGCTTGGTAAAACAAAACAAAAATTACTAGGCATGTGCTGAACAATAATTTTACATGACACTTACCTTAAAACACAAGTGTAGAATCCACTGTCTTGTGCTTCTGCTGAGTGAAACCATATTGAATCTTCTTCTTTGCTCATCCTGACCTCTGAAAAGATGATGGGCTCTTCCAAGTCACCTTTGTTTTTGTACCACATAAGCCTGAGCCCAGTGCTCTGGGCCATGCTATAGTTGGTCCGAATATAACTATAGAAAAGAGCACATTTCACTCTGACTGGTTCACCTGCCAAGGCCATGTATGTTTTGAGATCCACTGACCAGTCAATACAGCCATCCACTGAAAAACAAAGAATAGAAAAAATGAAGCATGAGAAGCAGTGAGCAATGCTGATGACACTAGTGAAAGCAAAAGTCACTGGGTCATATACGGAGGACTTTCTGTGAGCCAGGTAATAAGTCATGTGCTTTACATATCAGTGACCCTATGACACAAACCAGTATCTTTCTAAGACTTTAGCAAGAAGAGACCTTGCTCTGTCAGTGTGTTTTGGGGCCACTTTCCAATTCTCAGTAACAGCCTTCAGCTGTCAAAAGACCAGATCTTCCTAGGAGCTTCCAGCCTGCATGTCTTACAGGGTTATCCTAACACGCCATGACCAAGTTCTAATTCTAGCAGTGGCAGCTAAATAAATTGCTGCTACTAGTCTTGCAGTATTTCCTTCACAGAATCATGTAAAATTAAGTGGATTCTAGAATAAACACATGTGTTGGTTTTAGGTAATTTAAACTGTTTATGAAGCAGGGGTCCCTTAAAACAAATTTTTTTCCAAGATATCTCTGTATAGTCTAGGAATGGGGCTAATATGAACATTTCTCATGTTCTTATTTTACAGATGAGGACACTGAGATTTAAGGATATAAGACTTTGAGCAAGGTCACATGAATAATAAATGGAAGAATAATCTCTGGTTCCAGAAGCTATATTCTTAGCCATTACCCTCTACTGCCTATGCCTATAATTATGACAAGAATCACTGTGTTATTTACTTGCCCTTGAAGTAATGCTGGGACTCGAAGCCGAGCACACCTAAAGTGATTATTGGCCATTATGTATGTGCTGTGTTTCCATGGTATGACCAATTAATAGCAGATATTTAATCAGAGGCTGACTTCTCTATATACCCTTAAGCCTCCCTTGCTGCTTAGCTTGTATCTTCATGGAAATATATTAATGTCAGCTTTAATCAAATAATATTAGGCAGATAGATCTACCATTAAAGAAATACATACAGTAAATTCCCCCTGCTCCAAATTGGTGAGAATAAGAGGCTGTGCCAAATTTAATATACTAGTTAACGTAATTAGCAGTTGGGGTAGATAATAAATACTGTCATTTCAAAATTATGTTTTGTTTATAATTTTGTGGGATGACTTGCTTCTTTTTATAGATGCTGAGAACTCTGTAATTCTAATATATTTAATTTTTACCACCAGTTCATAGAAAGCTCAGAGCTACATGTAGTGTTTAAATATAATAACTGTCACAACTCAGGATTTCACATTTTCTAAATGAAGAGTTATTGGTAGGGGGCATGGTTGTCCCCACCTGTAACATCAGAACTCAGGAGGCTGAAGCAGGAGAATCACTGGGATTTCAGGGCCAACTTGGCTACAAAGGGAGTTCAAGGCTAGCCTGAATGGCATAGCAAAACACTGTCTCTAAAAGATGAAAGAAAGTTATTGAGCTGGTGTTCTAGGACACCAAAGGAAGGGTACCTATATAAGTTTCTGGTTAGTGGCATAATGATGTGCCTTTTGGATAGGCATACCTTCCTAGGGACACTTTTTTCCAACTCTGTATCAGAACTTCTCAGGGTTTGATGGCTCTAGAATTGTTGAGAACTTCATGGTTCCTGAGGTCTTTTTAGGACTTCATTTTTAACTGCTTTTCTGTATATGAGCTTTGGTATCTAAACTACTTCAATTCCTCATGTAGAATGTGAAGTATTCATTAGAAATGAATAGTAAATAAAAAATAAACTACTCACTTCAAAATCTCTGTGGGTTTTGATGACTACTGCTCATTGTTAAAGAAGGTACAATAGATTGGACTAAATATAGGCTGGTCACTGGTTATCTCTTGAGGATCAGTTTTATTCACATTTTGGTATTGGGTTGTTTAATCATGGTTAGTTACTCATAACTGTTGGGAATAGAGAGAAATTTATCCTGCCAATGCATTTCTTGATTGGATTGAATGTTATTATTTATAGTTGTATTCATTTTAAAATACAACTCACATGTCTCCATTTTAAGGATTATCTGTAATAGTGTTCCCATACATTAAAACAACCAAGAAGCAATGCCACACTGTTTTTAAAAACCCACATTTTTCATATCTTTATTTTAAAAACTAACATACAGAAACAAAAAGAACATGGAGACAGTGAAAAAGAGACCCATAGATCATGGTTTTTGTTTTAACTGAACCTCATGATGCACAGTGACTATTTTTGAATGAGCAAATTTGTTTGGCAAAATAGTCTCAAACTCTATTATTACCTAATTTATACAAAAAAATATTGGGGATATTTCTCCATTTGTTTCCTAAATTCCTTTAGTTACCTTCTCTAAAGTATCTGTTGCACAGTATACACTTTTACAATGTTAGTGGGCACGTTTGGCCCATGAGTGACAGGTCATCATTAGTATTGAATAGAATCAAAATAGCTGCTCCTGAGTCACACCATTCATGCTCAAGAGAAATTTGATGTATTTAACTAATCTTACAATTACCTTTATTATACAGACCTTGAGTATACACAGCAAATCCATTTGGTATTTTGTACCACCTAAGCAATGCGCATCGGATTTCAGAGATTTATGGTTTCTTCTTCTATTCCCTTGCTTTCATTATCACGGAGGAAGTACTTAGTTATAAGTTGGTCAATAGCCAGAGAACAGAAATTCAATATGAGGAAAATAATTTTTAAAACCTATCCCCTTTATTCCTTACTCAGCATTCATAGCACATGATGATATAATAAGTATTTCAAGAGATCTTGTGGAATTTTTTCATAAAATATAAAAGTATGATACCAAGAATCCATGAAGTCACACCAACAAATATGTTCCCACACTAACCTTTCACCAGTAGAATTTCATGACCATGACTAAGGAATTGTAACATTATAGCTAAGGATTACTAGAGTCTAACAAGGTACTATGAGTTGCTTTTATTGGATTGCTATTTTTTAGTAATTCAACTGTGGAGCAAGAATAAGAAGTAAAGCGATGGTGTTATGTTGAGCTGTAGGGGACTCAGGTCAACAATTTCTGACATTGCCAGTGAATCAGAAGACCCAATACTATTATAGACTACTGAAATCTTTTAGAATATTTTGCTGAGTTAACACACCTATAATATTCAAATGACAGAACTAAACCAAAAAAGGGGATACAGATGATTGTCCATTTTGTATCCATGTATTCAAAATGGTTAGGATAGATATATATTTACATTCTCTTAATGAGTAGAGGGATTTGTTGTAATAGTTTTGTAAATAGGATATCATGTCCGCATCTTGTACAGCAAATAACCACTAGGAAGAGATTATGCAATATGTTAATTATTGAAACTATCCTACCAATTTGATTTGAAACTGTCTCATTGCTATTTGTTTCTCAATAAAATTATGGAGAAAAAAGAAGGGGTGGAAAAAGATCTAGTGCATTTATTTTTAGATTTGACACTAGTGAAGTGACTAAGAAGTGTAGACTAGAGCAGGAAAATTCTGGTGCACAGTCAGCATATAGAGATCAAACATCATGAGTTTGAGAGGGAAGGACTGAGAGACATCAGAGAATACAAAAGGCAAGAAGAGGTGAAAGGTCACAGAAAATGAAATTTATTAGGGTCAGGGTTAAGAAAAAATAAAAAAAATTAAGAAAGAAAATGAAATTAGCCAAGTGCCATCAGAAGACACAAACGCAAGTCAGATTTCTGCCATGAACACTTTGCAATAACACTTCACACTTTCAGAGCCTTTTGCATAATGAGTTTCCATACATATTTGGCAAGTAGCTGAATTAATAGACCTGTGATGCCGCTGACCAAGGCTCAGGCTACAGGCCTGCATATGGCAGGATCCATTAAGTTTACTTTCCTTCAAGGAAATTCCTAGGAGTGAAACAGTTCATTACAAAGAACCCTGTGTTAGGACAGAAAGCTCATTTAACTTCTTTATAGATACTTCCTGCTTCATCCTCAAAAGACCAGGAGAGAAAATCCTGCCATACCTACCTGCAAAAAAAAAAAAAAAAAAAAATCTGTAAAAAGTTCATTATATAAGAAAGTACAGCCATGAGGTGGAATTCTAGAGGTTTTGATTGACTCATGGTCCAGTGACTACATAGAGAGTTCAAGGCTAACCTGGGGGGCCTGGGAGATAGCTCAGCAGAGTAAGTGCTCGCCTTGCGAGTGCATGGTCCTGAGTTCAGTCTCTGGTACCATTAAAAAAAAAAAAAAAAGACAAAGACAAACAGAAAAGAAAGTATATAAATACCAGATGCTCTGAAGACATTTGTTGAAATGTTAAGGCCTTTACCTAATATACATACCCCATATAAGTATATTATGTATTTGTGATTAATAAATTTATTTTTAAACCAAGTTTTTTTTTTCGGATCTGGGGATTGGACTCAGGCCCTTGCGCTTGCCAGAGAAGCACTCATTCCACTGAGCCATCTCCCCGGCCCTAGACCAAGATTTAAAAAAAAAAAAAAAAAAAAAAAAAAAAAAAAAAAAACCCTGCCAGATGTATCCGTTTCATTTTTACCACTAGCTCTTCTGTTTGTGAATCAATAGGGCAATTGGTGGGGGAAATTCATTAATTAACCACTAGAGGGAGTGCCGCCCAAGTTTTTGGTAGCATTTTGTTTTCCCACCTAATCTTTCTTTTCTTTTCTTTCTTTGTTTTTTTTTTTTGTATGTTCGTATATTAGGGAAGGGTGTACAGGACGTTCAGGGCCTCACTATTAGATTGGACTCATCAGTGGCTCCAACAGAGCAGTTACATGCCATGTATGTAAATACAACAGAGTGCATTATGGGGAATGATATACCTAAATATCACTGAAAGGATTCAGCACTCTGGCTATCATATACCTAAATATCACTGAAAGGATTCAGCACTCTGGCTATCATTTTGTCAACATGTCCAGAGAGAACCAATGGGAGGCACCCGAGGCAAAGTCCAAAAGGAAAAATCCTTTTTTGAAATCCCAAAGCCTGACATATCTTCATTGCTTTTCTCTCCACCACCCAGGCACCTGTCT